GGGGGGTCCCCGAAACAACCACAGACCACCACAGAGGGGGAGGGGTGGGTGGTAAAACTCCGCCAAAAACCCGTCACGTGGTTTGGGTACGACCCCTGGGAATGCCGGATCAGTCAAGTGGGTGGGTCACATGTGCATACGTTCCAAGCCATATGTCGATTTAAGCAAGATCTTACGGCTTCTGGTACATTTTTGCCCTTTTTTTGTGGAAAACACCTCAACGGCAAAACGGTACAAAAAAGATTCGAATGGGCAAAATTTTGGCTCGAAGGGTTTTGCATTGGTCCCTAGGAAATCCCTTGTAATCTTTCTGAAATCCCGTGAACTCTGGGTGAAAAGTTACTCTGTGCGCATAGCGCTCCGCAGCCAGGAGTTATGTTTTTAACTTTTGTTCTCAGCTCATTGAGTCTCAGCCCTTCTTCTTTCCTTGCCTGCACGTGACGAGCGTGCTGCGGAAGGACCTAGCAGACCCCTTTCGCACGCTGGCCAACCTGGAGGCTGAAGTGGTACACGGCGTGCTTCCGTCGCGACCGCCTAAGTACTCATCGTACCTTCGAAGCGTGACGCAGACATCTGAGGAGGTGGAGGCGCTGAAAAAGAGGTACGCCAAACATACTTTGCCCTTTTTTAAAAACAAGGGAAAGCAGTGATACTATTATGAACTCAAAACAACATTTGTGCTAAATAGGAAACTCGTTTTTTTAACCAAATCCAGTGTAGTTTTTGGAATCAGTTTGTTAGGATGTTGCGGTTTTTCACAGCGATATACATGGTATATTTAAAAGGGCTCTAAGAGGGCTTTCTTTTGTGTCACGCCTGTTAAACTCATCGTCACCACGTTGTTTATGTTCCTTCTTCGCTTTGGATAAGGTTCCGAACAGAGCTGAACGAATCCCAGATGGACGCTTTGGAGAAAGCTCTGGTGTGCCGTGTGGCGCTGGTTCAGGGTCCGCCTGGAACGGGAAAAACTTTCTTGGGTAGCAGGGTAAGGCGATTTTTATTTTTTCTAAAGCTCCCGGTTTGGGTGGATTTTAGTCGTCTCGCCTCACGGCAACGGTAAAAACCACCTTTAATCTTTGACTATAAAAGGAACTTTAAGAAATTCAACATGAGGAAATAAGCCGTCCAACTTATAAGGGGTCTATTCAGGTTGTCCTACCTCGTTTTTGTCGTACCTGAATATTTAA